TTGATCATACATTTTTTTATATTGTTTAATTGTATCTATATTAATCTAATTAAAATTACGCTTTTGTTATAAACGAACAACTTTACAAATCATACATTAATGGTTGAATTTCAAAAATCATAACTTTTACTTTTTTATTCTTTGATTTCTTTTTATAAAAATATTACATACTAATGCGATATTTCTTGGGTTTGGTGAACTCAACTGGTCTGAGAGAACCCATAATCTCAAGCGTATTCGATTTACATTAAAAACGTTTACGTCCAATCTAAATGTCATACAAATTATATTTTGTCATATAAAATATATTTATGAGAGATACCATTTGATTTTTTTGTTTCTAATTTTTCGTGTATATTATAAAAATATTATTTTTTATTTTCAAATATTTTAGTCCCACGTTTGACACGAGACCAAAATCTAGTATACATAAAATACTAAATGATTAAGAACGACTGATTTGACTAAAATTTTCGATTTTAGGGGGTATTAATTCCTAATAGGGGATCCTAAACCTCACAAATGTACATAAAATACAGAATATATAAAACGATCGATTGGACTAAATTTATCGATTTTAAGAGGTATGTAACCCGGTAAAAAAAACTCTAAACCCTCACAAATGTACATTACATATTGAACAATTTCGAAGGATTGGTTTAACTAAATTTGTCAATTTTAAGAGGTATTAAACCCAATAGGAGAGCCTAAACCCTCACCATTTAGTATCTAAATAACCTATCTAGAATTAGTGCTCGAGAAATCGGTTTAAATTTAGTATTTAACAAAAAAAATACTCAAAAAGATTTTACAAAAATCCTTTTTTACAAATTAAAAAGAACTAAATCCTTCTAGGAGAATCTTAACTCTACCGAAGCCTTAATCTTCAAAAACTAAACAAATCTATGATTTGATCCAGTTCAGCTGAAGTAAAATTTGGATCGCATATAATTTTATTAATAAAAAAATAAAAATAACTTTGGTGCTGTGGTCTGTGGGTTAAGTGTGTAGTGTCTGGTTAGTTTTGGAGTGTGCTTTTATTACCACGTCATGCATCTCCTTCTCATACAACTTTGTACCAGCTTATATCTTGTTATACCCTACCATTATTTTGATTTATGCGACCTTATATTCAAGGGTTAATTTGTCTAAACTACCATTATAAAAAAACTACCACTAGAACTGCTAGACCAAAAAAATTTAATTAAGTAGCAGAACTGAGAGAAATGATTTTCTTCCAAAATTACCCTTCTGATCCACTAAGATTTTTTTGACTTTTCTGACACGTTGTACTGAAAAACGACATATCCTTTCATAGAAATGACTTGACCAAATATTTCTTTTTTTCATTTAAATTTCCCCCTTTTGATATTTGTTTGATCTAATGTTTAATTTAAAATTAAAATTATATCATCATCTATATATATTAAAAGTTTTTTTTTTTTGAATATACTATAATTTGAAATTTAAAAAAACGAACATGTATTGCTCGAATAATCTATATAATGTTATAATGCAACATAATAGAACATATAGTATACCATATATTTATATGGTATAATCATGTTATATTCCATATGGCATGTTATATATCATATAATTATATGGTATAACCATGTTATATGATATATAACATGCCATACATAA